CCAGCGAGTAGTGAGGGTTGTTTTGATTAGCGATTAGCTCGGCTGCGCTTGTGAATAACCTTTACTTACGTGTATTTTTAAACACTGTTATTGTGTTTGATTGCTGTTGAAGGTGTGAAGACCTTGAGATATTTACTCTGTGAATATCGCTGCTGAATCCTGTATTTAAAGGATTGGATTTTTGATAATAAATTCACATCGCTCTTAAAGAACTGTTTATTTTCTTTGTGATTGTTTTGCATAAAATCACCGAACCCTCGGATCTACGTAACAATATTATTTACATAAAACACGTATTGTGTTGCTTAATTTTTAAAAGTTTGATATATTTTAAAACAAGGCGATATGTATAAACCCATCTCACACTGGCTCCAATTAACTCTTGAAAATGAATAATTAATTCTCGTGAAATATTGTACACGAATCTCTATCATCCAGTTTATTGCTGTCATCTATTAGTAAAAGAAACAACTACTTTAAAAAGCGCTGCACACGTTTGTAACGTTTGAAACACTGTAAAATCCAAATGGACGCGTGCAGCGCGTCCTTAACGTTGAGAGGCAGATTGAGATGAACGCGTTCTTAACGTAGAGATATAGATTGAGTTGAAAGCGTTCTTAACGTTGAGAGATAGATTGAGATGAATGTGTCCTCATGTTCGGAATGGCCAAAAATTAATATCTTTGGATCAGGAATATTTAGATAATTCCTATAGATTTATAAATATGTGCCCAAATATAAATTATGATTTATGTATCTAAAATAAAACATGCCATTAAATGCAACAAAACTAAAATTTAAGTTCAGTCCAAATTCAAAACATTATACAAAAAGTTAAAAATTAAAAAAGAAAAATTATGTGACATGTATTGGCATTTTAAAATTTTAGTCTTTATTTTTTCAAATTTAAGAGAATAGGTAAAAATAAACACAAATAATAATTGCCACTAAGCTGAGTTGGGCTCCGAAATTTTGAACTAACTAGAACCTATCAGGATAGATAATTCTTAGTAATTTAAAATTATTCAAATTTTCAAACACAACGCTTCTATGAAACTTTTGTAGGTTCTAAAATTAGATATTCAATATAAATTTTAAAACTTTACTCTGTCTTCTTACTTTACAAACAGTACTTTTCAAAAAGTATACCTATTAAATTTTTAAAATTAGATACCTAGCCTAAATTTCAACTAATTTCACCTATTGTCTTAAAAGCTTCCATCTCTTCTCAAAATAAAAGACCGTGAAAAATAATGTTTAATGATGTTTGCAATAGTACTTCTCAAATTTAATCATCACTCATTAATTATACAATTTCCATAGTCTAGTACCTCTAAATGTGATTCCTCATGGATTATTTACTTTGACACTGTCTAGACAGGTTTCCCAAGTAATCAATAAAATAAAAATAGGTGCATCATTTTTGTTTTGAAAGCTTCAAATAATTTCTTTTAAATATTGAATGTTTCAAGACATACTTTAGAGCAACATATTTTTAAATTTCGTGCACATTTATATTTTTTTAAAACTTATTTTTATATTCCAGGTGAATTATTTGCATATCATTACATTTGGAGAATACCTGGTAAATTTCCATAACGAATATTTGTCGTTAATCCAAGGGGATCACCTTAATGCTATAATAAATCCAATAAAATATTTTAACTACATTTTTTTTAAAAAAAATGTACAAACTTTATTTTAAATAACTTTATTTATTTTTGAATTTCTGTATGATATTTAGTTTTATTGACATTGAATTTTTAGATTAATTATATCTAGAGATTAACAAGACAAATGAATTAAAACATTTACGAAACAAATAAGAGATTCGATGAATCGGCAGGAATCTGCTTCTGGAATTTGTAGTACTGTAGCGGTATTTATATAAGCCAGTAACAGCCTCCAGACTGGAGTGATCACTTTTGTCTAGTGGTCATGTTACACGGCTTTGGAACCGAGCGTCGTGGGTTCTGTCCTCGGAATAACATTAACACATTTTTCAGTTTGACAGAGAAAAATTTGTATCCATTTACTGGTAAAATATTTGATGTAAAATATCAAGCACAATTATCTGGGGTTCAATGAAATTTCGTTCTTTAGCTTCTTGATAATAGTTTCAAGGAGCTTCTAGCTAATAGCTTATAAGTTCAAAATACAATTTTATTAGTGGAGTAGTTTTTCAAATTGATAACACTGCTTTTCATTTGCTACAATTTTAGTAACAATTGAAAAAAAAAAGTTAATGACGCATGTTACTGCTTACTTCTAACGGAATTTTTGTCTCCTTAACATTTAAACCGAAAGCTTAAGAAAAAAATGTATATAAAAATGTTAAGAAACTTCTTTTATTAATGCTTTATTACTTATACCCCTTTAATTTTCCCCAAATGTATTTTATAATCAATTGCAATACAAAGCAATATATTAGAAATGCATTTACATTAATATTACACCTAGTTTGTTAAGGTACAAAATACTTTCAACAAAACCATTAGAATGCGGAAAGGAGCAGTTTCTGAAGGTTAAAAAGACTAGAGCTCCTTGGGAAAGTCCAAGGACAAAAGTCTGTCTTTTTTTGGCTTGCAGGTCTTTATTGGGCACAATGGAGCGACCTTCACGCCCTGATTCCCAGACTGCTCTGGCTAGACTAACAGGTAGCCATTTGAAATGTCTTTTCTATGACTGAGGCAGGAAAATAGCCACCTCACACTTTTAAGAAATGCTGCTACCATCCAGCTTCACCGGATCCCATTCTGAGATGCATGGGACATTCTAAAGGGGACTCAATATACTTTCCCCTTATTATTATAGATTTTTTGGTGGTCAGCAACCATTCGAGGATAAGAAACAATAACATAATACTTTTCATTTGCAGCCAGTACTTGTATTAGTCCTATAAATTAATCATTATTCACTTTATCAATAGCAAATTGCTTAACTATTAGTACATTTTATCCCTATATTTTAAATAGATTTGTTTAGCTTTAAATAGATTTAATTTTAGATTTAAATAAAGAAAATGATGGTATATAGAAGAATTAACGTAAAATAGCACGGAAAATGTTTGTTCGTATATTTTCCCAAATTGACATCATCACGTTCAGCCTCCTACGGAATCCTTTTTTTTTATTTACTCTATTGATCTTAATTTTCCTGACCTTAAATGATTGCATAAAAATAGTTGCTCTCCATAACGACTTGATTCCATTAACACGGCACGCCGTAGAAAAAAGATAGCGAAGAAAACTGTCCGATTGATCGCTGGAAACTATTTGCTGATCTTGTATTTCCGCTGTAAATGTCATTCACCCATTTAAGGAAACATGTCCTGATGTAATAAAAGGATGAAAGCTGGAAAACCAGCTCCCTCAAAAGTTTCTCTATATTTGTTTTATTATTGCAATATACTGACTATTTTCTTGTGATTCTTTGAGGAAAACGCTATTGTTAAGGAATAGATTAAAATTTACATATGTAAGAAGCATAAACTGGTGAGGTAATGATTCTAAATATATCCCCTTTTGAAATCCGTTCACTAACCCTCATTGATTATTTGTTTTTTTTATTCTTGGGGATAATTTGTAAATTTTTTTAATATTTAAAGGATTCAAATGAAAACGAGTCATTGTTATTGCTGTAGGAAATACGGAAAATCAATCATGCAGTGAAAATAAATAATATCATAGTTTGAAAATAAATTACGTAACACATTTTTGAAACTATACACTCTTTAGTCAATGTGCTTCAATAACACAATTTTTATTAATAGTTGTTTAGTAAATTATTTCTAAATATACTGATAAACCAAAACGATTTTCATTATTTTTTTTATTCGTAAAATTTTTATTTTAAATTATTAGTTCTTTATTTCTTCGTCCACTAATAGTCTATGCTTAACTTTAGTTTTTATTTAAATAATTCCTTTTTTTGACCTATGTTTATTATTCATAATAATTCACTTTTCCGTTTTCTGCAATTATATATTTTTGCTTTTTATTATTATATAACTAAGTTATCCAATTTCAACTTCATTACTACATTTCCTTAGACGAAGGAAAACTACATTTAATACACGATTTCTTAATTAATATTCTGGTTTACTATTTTAATTGCTAAAATATTCATATACAGTTATGAATTATGTCATATTATTATATTTTTAGCTTTTTAGCAAGTTTCAAAAAATGTTGGTTACACAATTAATGCCAAAAAAAAAGTTCAATGTGAAAAATAATTAAATAACTGCACAATTGAGATAATTTGACTAATATTTCTATAGTGATCACAGTAGCAATAAAGAAAAAAAAACATGTAAGAAAATTTCTCGACTTTTAAATAACTTTTTTTTTTCTTTTAAAAAAAAAAGGGTCCTTATGAAAATACATTTGTATTAATTTACAGCTAAATACTTTTTTGTTTATTTTCATTCGACTGAGAAAAATTAAATAATTCAATTGCTGCACATTATTGTTTAAACATTTTCTGAGTGTATAAAAATGTTATAGAAGGAATACATTGCACTGCATTTGATCTTACAGTCACTTTGAATAAATGCAATAAAAGGCAGAAAAAGAGTTCTGCACGAGCAATAAGATCGCATCGCGAAAAATTCCCGCAAGGGGTTGCATTGGACCACTGGATATTTGCAAATTTACATCGCAATTTGTGTGAATATGGATCTTTCACGGATCACCAAGTAATATGCCAACAGAGGGCGGGTCACGCATTCCAACGCACGATATCAAATACATTTTGTTCCATGTATGGAATAAAATGTGTTGGATGGCATTCGAAGAATCCAAGTACCATGTAGCAGTTCGAGTTACTCGTGGTCCACCCTCTATGTGCTTATTACTTTGTAATGATTCGTATTTATACAAATTGTGATGCAAATTAGCATATATCCGAAAGTCCGGGGCAACCATCTGTGGGTACCTTTCGCGATACAATCTTTCTGCTGCTAGAGCATTTTTTTCTGCCAATCCGTATATCGTCCAGCCAGTATAGTGGCTATAACCCTCGGCTTTTAACCAAGTGGGTTCAGGTTTGAATCCTGAGAAAGACATGTTTGTGTCTTCTTCGGGAAGGGAGTCAGTCTTTCGCCTGTAGTGGATTCCCGTCTCAAAAGGAAAGCAGCGCACCTCTTCTTGTTATATGCTGGGACCATCATCTGTAATAAATGTGTATATTCTTCTGTTTTATTGTATGCTTTCTGTTCTTCTTCACTTGTATTTTATATGTTCCCAGGATAAAAAAACACACCACAGCAACAATCCCTTTATTTGGTTTATGTCTGCCAGCACGGTGTTTGCAAAATGTTCCATACTCTTCTAGGGGCGACGAAAGCTGAAATAACTGTGGTAATGTTGACTGTTTCCTAAAATACTCTTGTGAACACAATGCCATCTAGCACCGAACAAAAACCTTTCCAATCATGAGTTTCAATGCAAATTTGAATTTTTGTGTGTTCCCTACATACCCTTAGAGCTTGTCTCAATGATCCTGGAACACCCTGATAAACATATGTACTACTAAATAAAAAATAACATTTTCACTGTTCTTTTTTAAAAAAACTGATATTTATTTAACAGAATAATCATTTGTTCTAACAACACATGTTTCATTTATTGCTTCAACCGTAATCTAGTATAAGTGTTAATGTGCCTTATTCTTACGAATATGAATAATGATATGCATAAATAAATGTTACTTGTATTTTCTCTTATGAAATAAATTGTAAGTGTTCTTTATATATAGCAGGAAGAAAACACTTCCCTGTCTTTTTTCAATAATTAAATAACTAAGTTATGGAAAGGTTCAATTGAAGAATTATGGCAAACAACTCAGAATAGCAGGATCAATTTTTTTGAATATGATTGAAAATTATAGTATTTTAGTATGTATTGATAAATAAGTTTGAAATGTTGAAAATTACATTTTTTGTACACATGTACCAATTTTTCTTGAGCTTTAGATATTTTTCTTTACTAAATTATTGAAAACCTATCAAATTTCTCCGGGTATAAAATAATTTTTTTTTCATTTCCCTTTGATAATGCAAACTTGCTTCAATTTTAAAAATAAAATCACGAATTTTTTTCATATATCTCCCTAATTTATTTACTTGGATTTAATGTTTTTTTTATTTGATATTAAGTTTTAATGGAGTAATAAAATATTAAAAGGACGTAGGGACTCTAAAATTATATTTTTAAGTTACACAGACAACTATTCTCTTCAAAAAAATAATATATTTTATTTCTTACATTTGTTGAGTTGATAACGTTTAATTCCTTAATTTTATTGACCCTGAGTACACTTAAAAACTAATTTAAAATAATTGGAATTTCCTTCCATCTTTCAAAAAAATTATTTCAAGATGATTTATAAATGAGCAATATATTTATTTTCAATCAATTTTCAAAAATAGAAGGCCAGAATTGTTACAAAAAAAATGTGAAATGTAAATTTTTTAAATAGATGACTCCATGTAATCTGTTGAGTAATTTTGTTTGAATAACGTTAATATCCAAAGAAATATTTTGCACTATTTATTATATAACGTCGAAAATGTTTGCCCATGATAATCGTTGCCACTAGCCTGCCAAATCGTTTTATTCGTGGAGGAGATTCTTTTGACATTTAGAAGATTGATAACAAAATGCATCGATACAAAAATATTGAAGCTCGTGATGCACCAGCCTTTACCAAATTCCTTAATACATAAATAAAATAAAATACTTTCCCATCAGGATGAATAAAGCAAAGATTAATATAGCGCGATCCTTATTCACTTCAATATTATTTCATACATTTTTATATTTTAAGTGTATAATTTATTAAAATATTTTATCCATGCAACATGTGATCCATAAAAATATGATCGATTAAAGAAATGACTTAAATTTGCCTTCATATTTATTTAGCCATGTCAAAAATGATATTGATAGGAAAAGCGCTCTGATAAATCAAAAACAAAAAAAAGTACTTAAAATTCCCTTTTGCCCCTTCTAAGAGATCTTATGAATATATTGGATGAACGATCAAAGCATTGTAGAATGCTACTAAGATAAATTATTGATAATAAATTATGAAACGATTCCACCATAAATCAAAAAGTATTTTAATAAGCATAGTCATATATGAATCGTCAAATAATTGTTCACCTCATTAGTTTCTTCAGGATTTTCTCAATAATTACTTCACAGAGTATGAGCCATTTTTTTTTATTTGGGATCATCAGGTGGCGCCTCAGTGACTCTGTTATTGAAGATAGATTAAATCATAGGAATATTAAGATAGTAATCATTAAGTTCTTCACATTTCCAATAAATATCTATTAGATTGAAAAAGATATATAAGTTATTTATATAAAAAATAATAATTCATAATAAATACTTATTTCTATGCATTTAAGAGGACACAGTACAATTCAATTGATGAAAATCGGTTAAAAAAATCAAATCTAACTTTTTTATCCTAAATTATTTTTTATATACTTTTCTACAAACTCACAAAGCTTGAAAGCTCTAAATTTAAAAAACGCAGAGTTGTGATAAGTTTTACGTTTGTTTTTATTCACATTCCAATGAAAAATCAAAACTGTAAACTGACTTATCTCTGAAAGATAAAATAACTAGTTTGTCTTCATATAAAATGCTAAGGCTTTTTTTCTATTGTGCCTAATGCTTGGAAATGTTTTTCGCTTGTTGCTTATAGTACATAGAACAAAGGTTGATATGCATTTTTCAATCAAAGCAATGCCTATTTTTTTTAAAAAAATAATTGAATTTTGACTTTTTACATTTTTTAATGAATTTTCAATGAATTTTTCAATTTGTACTGTACGAATACCAATCATGTTTTTTCAAAACCCATACCAACTTTGGTTATACATAGTTTGACGTACTTGTAAATCAAATTTCATATATGTACGCCAATTTTTGTAGGAGGTGTGCCACTTTAAAAATCACAATTCTCATTGAAATCATATTTACGTTGATAAATTTTGGTATATTGCAAAGGGAAAAAGGAAAGTCATTTTAAAAAATCGAGTTAAATTTTCATGTCCTCTTCTTTTACGAATGAAGTAAGCAAATGACATGAGTTTTTTGTCTGCCTTGATTAAATCTCCTTTCTAAAAGAAATCTTTCTACCCGAAAGATTTTGGAGCTTCATGTCAAATTCAATTTGTTGAAGAGAAGACAATTCTGTCTTCCACTGCCAGAAAAATATTCGATAATGTCATTTCCGGCTTAATGTGTCGGGAAGGAGGAGTTTCTAGTGAATAAGATAGAAAAGAAAAGAAATATTTATCCCAGTGTTTGAAATGTAGATTCATTACCAATTCTAACACAACTGATCCCCAATTTACTGAACTGTCATTGAACTCAGTAAAAGATTAGGTCAAACTATAAAGTCGACGAATTTCTTCAAATCAAAAGACATCGCAGAATGGTACGATTTGCAGCGAATAATGGAAAACCTTTCCCACGAATGTTACTGTACAAAAAGTACGACAGCATTTGGCAGAATGTGTTTTACTTTTTACCTGGCAACTTTTTTATTTGGCAAAGTTAGTCGACGGTATAATAAATAAGTACCAAAGATTATTATAAATGAAATTTTACTATGTCCAGTTTTAAAGAAGCATAGAAATTTTTACAAATTCATGCGTGTACTCTATCCAAATTTCTTATTATTTCATATTTTTGTTATTGTGTGAAACAATCTTCGTGATAATATGCAATTTATTAATGAATTATTAATTATTTAAATGTTAACTAATGTTCGTAATGAATTATTTAAACTTAACATTTATTATATATATATATATATGTATATATATTAATGGTTTAATTTTAACTTTTTAAATTTTAAATTTTTGAGAATTGGATATTTTCCGATTAACTTACCAAGTTGCAATAGGGGGAAGGATGGCGCCATCAAACAAGTTTAACCCCACTTATCGGTCCTAAGTTCCAGGTTGCACTTGCATATTTTATAAATTTTTATTTTATAATTTTTTAATTTTCTTTGAAAACGTTGGAATTTTATCTTCTATATTCGCCATTGATATTTTGAAATGGAATTTAATGTTATAAGAATCATATAACTTCAAATTTTTTAATTGATTATTAAGTTGTGATTGAATTATATATAATTATATATATATATATATATATATATATATATATATAAGACATGTAGAATTTTTGAGTTGTATTACACTTTTACTGGTTTTTACATCTTGTATATGGAGTAATTTTTAACCTTCTATTTCGATTTTAAGTAAATTTATTCAATTTAATTATCTTTAATTGGGTAAGATTCCATTGATTTTTTTCACATTTGCCAAAGAAAAAAAGATATTCAGAAAGCTTGTAGCACTTTCACGTCAGAAATTTAAAACATAGGTATTTCACTGTGTTCTACTGTAAGTGAAGTATCAACATTGTTCGCTACCATACTGCTTTGTTTTAATTCGATGAGCTACTAAATAACTTACACAGCACTCAGAAGCTACTCGAGGTATATTTGGTTTACTCCAAATACGATAGAATCATTGTTGAATGTGTGAAGCAAATGTTCTGGTTGTGCAGACTGATTCAATTGAATGAATTCTATAATGTTAACTGCATCTGATTTAATTACACAATTATCATTTAACTTAAAACAAGTAATATATAAAAAAAAATTATGTCAATTCCTAATTAGATCAACAAAGAAAAATTTAATTTTAGCTACTTTTTTATTAAATAGTTACAATTAATATAAATATGTATATACATATTTCACAATCACAACATTAAGTGGTAATTAATTTTTATTAATTATAGGGTACCGTTTTCTCATCCAAAACAATCATTTAAAATTTCAGTTCATCTGAATAATTTAAAACGTGAGAAAAAAAACCTTTTTAAGTTTTGACACAAGTCGCCAAAAGGGTCACAATGTCGCCAAAAATGATGCCGACGTGACTCTATTTGTAATTCTTTAAATAATTAGTTTTAATCAATTAATTTTCCTTAATTATTTATTAATTATTGTATTGTCATCCAAAAT